GTAGTCAGTTTTCCTTTCTGCAGGCCTACCATATGAAAGATGGTCTGTGATACAAATTTCAGATTTGGTTGGTTTCCAGCAGTCCTTCTCTGGTCACTGTTATGCTGGTGCCCTGAAGAAAGAGCCATGCAGCAGAGAGACAAACCAACTCAAACTGGAGAAACACGAGACAACAAATGGATACAGACAACAAAATTCAGGGAAACAGTGGCACAGTACTGATSCAGAATGTGACTGAGCTAYAGTGARCACCTCAGRAGMCTGTTKTTTTAGATWCCAGAGGMAAGAGGAGTCTTAAGAAGGAATTTRAAGGGAGATAATGAAATAGCTCTGCAGATGTTTACAGAGATTCCCTCCCAGGCATGGAGGGAAATGTGGGAGGAACATGGAGGCRCTTGTTTGAATATTTGTCATGTGGGGGTGGAAGCCGATATTGTGGGTTATCAGGGAGAGGTGATTGCATCTCTCTGGTGCAGCAGAGTTGGAGCAGCAGGAGARCATAAGGAAACTGCTTCAGCCATCAGACAGTTCCATGGAGTTCTCAGGCTGAATCCATCAGTACTGAGCTGTGCTTTTGGTAGGACAAGTAAAAGAGAAGAAYGAGCATGGGAGAAGGGTTGTTTAGTTGATGTTATTCTGATTTTGGAGAATGTCCATGATGTTTTTATAAGAAATCAGGGAGGGATTCAGCTCCATTAGGTATATTGACTGTGTCATGTGACTGTATCAGGAACTTAGTGTACGCACACAAAGATACTGACACGTGGATCTTAGTAAGAACTGAATACCAAGGATATAMATTCTCATGCTGCWGGTTTAAATCCTTACTTGGTTGCCRCTGCTAAGAGCTTTGCCTCAAACTTCAGTCAGATGAGGATTTCACTTTTTGTGCTCTATGCAGTACTTTRTATCCAAGCATTTTGTTCAGCTTGCAGATGATGATGCTGCTTTAATTAAAATTTCCTACAAGCTCTTGAATTAACTCCCCTATCCATCTGTTATTCCATTAATATCCCAGATAATATCTTACAGTATCCCAGAGAGCCTGGGGGAAAAAAAAATTGATACCATCATTTACTGTTGGGTAGTGAATTACAATGCAAGCATTAAACTTTTCTAAGGGCTCTTACRCCCTGAACTAAAGCATGGTGTTAAGATCCAAGTCCAAGAGTGTGAGCAGATGTCTCCACACATCACYCTGCAGTTCCTTATGGAATAAAATGACTTGGGTCTCAAAAGCAGTACAGCTGCCTRTGTCCCTGAGACAGTGTCCCTTGGTTTAGGGACAGCCCCATGTTAGTGTAGTGGCATTGCCCAGCACTGGAACAAGCTGGTTTAGTGTTTGTTGGGCTATTTTGGTACCACTGCACTGTAGAATGTGAGTGTACTTTAAATAGAAAGTATCTATAAGAATCTTTTTAATAACGTGCACTGCTATTTTTTGTGATGTATTCTGTTTTGAAGAGCTTTTTTTTCCCTCTTTCTGAGCTAAGAAATTGTGCCAGAATAATAAGCAAGAGCACTCCTAAGACTGGAAGYGAATACATGTGAAAAGAAGAACTCATTATTTGAATAAGTTTGCCTGAAGGGGCAATTTCTAAACTTTTAGTAAAATTCCATTCCCTTCCTTCATGTTAATTAAATGAAAGCTGGGGGGATAGGAAAGCATAGCATGGCAGTGTGATATATCTGGGCCACAGCTCAAGAAACGAAAAGTCATCTTACCCCCCTTGGCTTTTTATTGAGTGCTGTGATACTTCATTTTCAATAATGAACTGCTTTTATGCAAAAGTTTTCAGTCCTACAAAATGAAAGGAGGAACATGTTGACAGGAAACAAAAATTGCATAATCTCTGCAGAAGTCTAGGACAGAATCACTGCTCTGTTCAGCCCCTGCCATTTGATATGGCATCAGGAGGTTTCTTCCTTCCACTGACTTGAATAAGGAAAGGATAAATGACYGCTGCCATTGAGGCATCGGGGCCACATTTGTCTCAGTTATAAATTTTCCTCATAGTAAAACAGGACTAAACAGTGCATGTTTATGACCTCCAACAAAATCTTCCAGGGAGATCATGTTATCATTGAAATCAGTCTTTTCAGGCAGTCTGGTGGAGTAGGTTAAAGCAGTAGCAATATTTCTCCAGGTTTTCCCCCATTTCTCTATTTCACACTTGGAAGCAGTGGCTTCTGGCTGCTCTGTGCTGGACCACATGCAGACACAGCAGGAGGCTCTTGGCTTCTCTGACTGTGTCTGCTGTCCAAGCAACTGCTCCTCACTCCCTCAGAGGAAGATGCAGTGGGCAAATAGAAATATTTTGCAGGCCAGATGGGGCTAATGGACCACAAACTGGAGCATTCTGACCAAAATGCATATTTAATTGCAGGTTGTTCCTTGAATTTCTGGCATGCACTGTGCTCAGCTGGTTTCTGGTAACCAGATCTGGTTTTGCATTTTTCCACTCCTGATCATGTCAGTGTTATTCAGAGGCACTCAAACTTTCCAGGAATTGTTTAATCCCTTCTGAGATCAGACATGCATACTTCAGGTAGTTCTCAAGTAGTGTGGTTACATTATGTGGCACCTCCACAGTATATGACTGTTGTCATATCCACTGTGCTCATTTATGGAAAAATGTGCTTTGATAGTTTGTTTTTGTTTCATTTGCTTGTGTTTTTCACTCAGAATGTTGCCTTTAAGTTTGTGTATCCAAAGGAAAGCTAGGGCTGCTTGTCCAAAATGTAAGGAATTTCCCTCAGGTCTGTGCTTCTGTCCTTCATACCTTTAGGGGCAATTCTCTAGATTTCACCAGCTAGGTGGGGGCTGATTAGGGTGACATGAATATGAGGTATGCCAGGAATGTCAGGGTTGCTGGTCTTTGCTATCCAGTTGTTTTGGTTCTTTTTMTTTTTTACATACTCCACTATGCCAAAACTAGATCTGTGTTATATACCTATGAGACCCATGCATTTATGGACTTATGTAATATCACTTGGACTAGATTTATTTATTTCAGTGTTGCTACCTGACTCTTAGCATTTCCCCTGCTTATTTAAATAGGAGATGCTTCTTTACCACCTCAGTCAAATGACAGTGCGAGTTTTAGATCTCTTTGAGCAGCTGCTGCTCTTCTCTGCACCAGCAGTGGTATCATTTCATTAGTGGAAAATAAACTCTTGTTAAGTAAATGTGGTATAAAGTGTTATGTAAGAGGAAACACTTAATGAGCAGATATTTAAAGTTCTGTTTACATGGTATGCACATGGCCAGTTAAGTTTTTCTTGGCCCCATTGCGTAAAAGAATTTATCTGTCCTAAGTAAGGAGTGAATTTATTTTGCTAGTATTTGCATCACACTGGAGCTAACATACCTGACATTGCAAAGCTTTGAGTTTTGCCAAGAGAATATTTGTAGAATGTTTTAGAGACTGTAAATACAGGAAAAAGAGTAAGGCTTGTTTAGGTTGAAGATGGCTTAGTTTTAAGATTTGGTGGCTTAAAAACATTTCCAATGCCTTCTGATGATGTCTGTGGCTGGGCCAGTGTCTTCTCCCTTTCTCTCCAGGTAGGACACCAAGAAAGGAGTTTATAAGATAGGACRTAGTTAAGGATCAGCCTCTGGAGCCATCAGAAACTTGGTAGTTATCTGTGTTCAGTTAAGACACCATAAAAGAAGGAGACTAACATATGAGGCATCAAGATGTCAACAATAGCAGAGATCTGGAAAAAATTTCCTGAAAATGACCATATTGGCCAAAGACACCCAGACAAGATGTTGTCTYGAATGGTGAGATGATGCCAAGGGTCAGACCACAAAACTATAAGAAATGAGATCAGACTGAGAACTTAAGTTACAGCTAAAATCCAGCCCTCCAAAGGAATTAATCAGATGAGGTTTGGAAGGTTTTGTCTGGCAAAAGAGATGTCTTCTCTGCCTTTAATTCTCTGGCTTTTGTTACAGAAAAGCTTACGCCCTTTCATTAGGCACAAAATATGTGCAGCTTAGTTGTGCAATAGTACCAGGGTCTGTGTGTGTATGAAACCCATGAGTGCTGGAGCTTTTTAGTGGACTCAGGCCAAAACCTGAACTAGCTCAGTTAACYTGAGGGCAAATGCTGCTGAACTCAGTGCTGGTCCCACCACACGTGTTTGTATTCACCAGTTACAGGAACGTGCTGATCTGGTCACTCATACACAGAGCAGACCTTGAGTAAACGTCCAGTTCAAGTGCTCTTTATAGCATTTTCCAAAGATGAATCTATTACTGAGGTAAGATTTGCAGTTGGTTTTCCTTAGGTAGAATAGGGTGTATGAAGCCTTAACAGCCCATAAATTTTTGAACCATCTGTGGGTGACCCAGATTGCCAGCAGTGTAGGAAAGATCTTGTATGAGGTCAAACTTCTGAAAATACCTAAAGCTGATTTTTAAATTATAGTCAACATACTACCCAGTAGTCTCTGAAGTAGTAAAACCAGGTTGGAAATGGGACACAGTTTCCTAAATAATGGTTAAAAACAAATGGACAAAATGGTTATAATATTGAGAGGTGTRAGTCAAAGGGGAACAACTCAGCCATTCTCCCTCTTCAGAAAACYTGTATGAGATGAATCTCCTGGGCAGCCTTAGCCACATTTTTTTCTTCCTATGTATGACCCACCAAGTTGTTGTTTCTAGCGCAGCCCTTTTTTTTGCCCTCTAATACCAGACTAAATAGGAAGCCATAATTTAGACACTTCCATTTTTTTTCAATTAAAGGCAGCTTGTCTAGTCATAAAATGTGCCAAGAGATTTTTAGATAACAGTTTTTCTTACCACCTGTACATTTATTTCTGTCCACATAAATCTTTCCAGGAAAAAGATTTTCACATTCTGCATCCCAAGACCAATAAAAATTTTAAACAAATTATTTGTAGGGTTTTCATTCCAGCTTTCTCTTTTCTTTCCCTTTCTCTGATCTTAACAGCTTTCTCTAAAAGTGTGCTTTTTGCTCTTCATGCAGACTGTACGTGGATGGACCTTTTGGAAGTCCCTTTGAGGAGGCCCTGAACTACGAGGTCAGTCTCTGCGTGGCTGGAGGTATTGGAGTTACACCATTTGCATCAGTACTCAACACRCTGCTGTAAGTGAGCTTAAGCCTTTAAAGCCGTTTTGCCCCAGTTAACAGTACATGGCAGAAAGACTTCAAGGGTCTTAGAAACCTTCCACTGGCATAAACAAATGATTCCTTGAAATGATGTAGAGGACTGGGATGTCCCTGAAGGCCATAAATCCTCTCATGCTGACTGTGTAACCCGAAGAGTTGGGGCAGAGCTGTGCCAATGATGCACCTGGACTGGAACAGTGTCACCAGCCCTTGTATCCTGTCTCCAGCCTAGCCTGTGATTAATTATGCATAGCCCTTCAGCAAGATTTGTTCCCCTAGTTCCAGCTTAGATGAAGCTGTGCTCATCATATAGCAGTGAAAATTGCTATAACAGTTTTTGGGAGTCAGACAGTTGTGACTATATTTTTGCCGGAAATGCAGGATCAGCTTTTCTGGTTTGACTCTTTTAAAWGTCTAATCTTGGAGGTTTTAACAGAAAGGGATTGACCTGAATTCAGGTAACATGCAGATGTTTAACTCCATTTAAAATATTAAATTTTAGGTGTGCATTTTTCTATTTTCCCCTTCTTGTTTCTTTCACTCTCTTTCTTTAAATTTTATTTAAATTTAAAGCCTTTGACATTCTATGCAGCTCAAACCTTTCATATCTTGTTTTTCTGTCACATTGACAGCATGGGTCCYACCAAATCTTATGCTATGTGAAATAGGCTTGCTTTTATGATTGCTACTATTTTTTTTCTTAACCTGCTAGAGTTATTGGTTAAGAACTCCAGTCACAGGTTAAGCGCCCCCATTTCAAAGGCCCAGTATAAAAGTATAAACAGCCRGCCAAAGTGGCAAACCTTCCCTGAGGTGCTGAGGGYTAACTGGCTTTGGGAGGGCTTTACAATGCACTTCGTCCAAGGTGAACGTGCCAATGGTCAGCTCTAACTCCAGAGTGAAGCTGAGATGTGGGGTTTAAATGCTGTACATGTTCTTCTGTCCTTAATCTGGGCTGGACCTGACAGTGCTAAGCGCTCCTGAAAGTTATWAGCCTCATGTCTCATAGTTCTGCAGCCCCCAAAGACCATCTTGGGCTCCCTCATTTTCTTTTCTTGAGAGCATATGGATCATCCTCTCAAAACCAGGGTATGTTTTTGTTGAAATCCTGGGGCTCAGGTGGATAAAATGACTGTTTTCCTTGTGATGTATTATCCCTGATAGTGTTTGGCAAAAATGTCACGGAACACAAAGATAGGCCAGCAGCAGATAATTAGATGTTTGCCCCTACCAGTGTGTTATCAAYGGCTGTAGGAACTTTCTCAGACACTGCAAGAAAATTGGAGCATCCAAAGGATTTTGCAATGCTCATTTATCTGCATAAAGCCATAAATTGACTTCCAAGGAGATAATTCCATAACGTGCCTTTGTAGCCACCCTTGTGCACTGTGCAAAATACAGGGGAATCATTCTGAGGGAAAGGAACGGTCTCAGGCTGCTTCCCTCCTCAGTATTTAAACATCAKCCAGGCACTGGTTCAGTGGATGATCTGCCTGTGACTTTGCCCTGGCTTGGAAGCAGAAATTGGCABCTCTGAACATGCAAACTGCCTCATGATGCCAGTGCTGCAGAGCAGCCAGGCCAGTCCTGTTGAGTCAAGGACACGCAGGTCTGGGGAGATCAAAAGCTTGTCCATGAAATCTTGTTTCCCGCTCAGTTGTTTTTCTGTTATATATACATAATTTGATTCATGCTCCTGCCCTTCCCTCCGCTTACCTGTTGAACCCTATGCCCCATTTTAAGAAATTGTAATGAAGTTTAAGGAAATCTAGAGGCTTTTCTGCACAAGGGTCTGTAAATAATGGCTGTTGTGGGCAGTGTAACAAAGACACATGCAGGAAGTGTTACATATGTGTGGTTGCAATGGGGAAATGCACCTTTATTGCATATTATCTCCTGCTGGAGGTCGACTCAGGCATACATGTCTGGGGTGCTATTTTAAATCTATGCTGCACTTGTTGAAGTCTTGCAGTCCAGCCTCTCTGTCTGGCTGCAGTGTTTCATCACCGAGAGTGGTGCTTTGTTACTGAACTGGGGAATTTCAATGCAAAATGCCTTGCATTTTTCTCTTCTTTTATCCCTTTTTATGGTGAAAGTCACTTATTTTCCTTGCTACTGCTTATARTTCTCTTGTCACGTTTGACCAGACTGTTACCCTTCCTAAGGGCTTGTCTTAGTCTAGGCAGTCAGCAAGAAATGGAGAAAGTCCTGTTTGGCAGGTCAGCAGTTTACAAATAAAAGATTTGAAATCAGCACTTGAAAGACACTGCACTCCCCAGTCTGAAAGCACTTTTTTTACTCCTGTGGGGAGTTTACATGAAAGGTGAGCRCTCTGTTCTACATATTGCTGAGGTGCTGCTGATTTTCCATCCTTGCTCCTCAGGACAGGGSTGTGGGGAGGCAGGACAGTGGTTGGAGTCATCACTTACATAGTTCTATTAACCCTTGCTGCCATATACCAGCAGCTCTAGAGTTTGGAATTATGCACCGTGGGTATGGTGAGATGTATCATGAAACTTTTCCACCAGGTTTGACACTTAGGATTGACATTTGAAGTGAAGAAGCTATGGTCTTCTCTATCTGAAAATTATTTTAGAAGGAAATGTAGGAAGCCATCTGTGCACTGACCATATCAGTGATGAGAACAACAAAAAACAGTGTTGGCTATCTAAGAAAATGCCTCCTGAACACTTGTGCTTTATTTGAACTCGGGATATTTTTTATTTCTGTTTTCTATCCCAGTTCATTCAAATCCTTCCTTTGTGCTTTTTTATGTTTTAATTCAATTAGAAATCTGACACGAGAGTCCTGTTTTTCTAAATGCAGTACCAGAATCTGCCCATGGCTGCCCTTTATCCACCAGCTTTTTGTGAGGTCTGTRAGATATCACACAGTTCCCTATTGCAATGGAGCTTTGATTTGATTTGGTCTTTGTGATTTTGCTACAATATTAGTTATAACCAATCAGCGCCTTTCATATATAAAGGCAGAATTAAGTCCTGATWTTAATGCATTTGCCAATATTTTCCATTTACGGGCCACGTTATAAACAGAATAAAGATGTGACATAATACASTTGAACTTAGAATGTCTCCTTTGCTTTGAAATAAAAGTTTGGTGGTGATACATTAATCCATATTTTCTGCTCAAATCATCTGTATAGCTGACATCTTCCTAGTGTGKAAGCAGTAACTATGATGGCTGTTAGCTCTGAGCTAGAGATTTAACATTCTCAGGATCCTCCAAATAGACTGATTGGTCAATTCAGTGTCTGATATATCATAGCTTGAACAGCAACTTAGCAATTAGCTTCTAACGGAAATTCATGTTTCCTTAGTGAATATAAAGCACCCTAATTAATGTTTCCTTTTTAAATTATAATTTTTAACTACCCACACATTTTATTTTCAAGTGACGGCTGGAAAAGCTACAAGCTCAGAAGACTCTACTTCATTTGGGTGTGCAGGGACATCGAGTCTTTCCGCTGGTTTGCAGATCTGCTCTGTATGTTGCATAACAAGGTAATAACGGGTGTTGTTAGAAGGGATCCTGACGATTTAAATGCACTGTGTGCCCACATCACACACTGGCACTCTGCAGAGAATGGCAGCTGTGCTCAAAACAARTGAGCTCCAGCACTAGTTCTGCTTGGGCTGCCTGATCCAGGCTTCCTTTATTCTTGGAGCTGCACAGAACAGTTTGAGTATCTGTCACCAGTGTTTCAYGGCACAGTGGTGCCTGTACCAGTAGTGTGGACACTTACCTGTGTCCAGGCTGCTTTATGAGATGGAAGCAGCAGCACATGGGATTTGGGAAGTCTTAAGTGGCCTTTAGTCATCTGGCTGGTTAACAGAGGGAGAAGGGAGTGGGATTTACAATTTCAAGTGTATTTTAAGAACCGTGCAGCTTCCTAAAATAATATTTTTTACACAGCATGATATGTGCAACACTCACAAAGGGGTGCTGTGCAAGCATATCCTCTTCRTGAAAAAGCTTCACTGGTTCTGAGACCCATGCCCCTCAACATAGTAGGCACAAGTGACTTCATGCTTACATTAAGCAAAAGAATATTATTTCACTAGCTGTTTTTATCATCCTCCCAGCTTTGGCAGGAGAATCGGCCAGACTATATAAATATCCAGCTGTACCTCAGTCAAACAGATGGAATACAGGTATGTGGCCAAATGTTGTTTGTAAACTAAACTAGACCTTGGAGTAATAGGCAATGCAAACTGTCAGTCAAAGGCAGAAGAGGATTACTGCTGATGGAAAAAACAGAGGAGGCCATGAACTTGGGTGACTGACTCATTACTAGAGCAAGAGAGCCAGTTCATCCCCACAGCATTAAGAGTCTAGTGCAGTACCCTTAACATGATTAGGCGTGGGCAGAAATCCATATCTTCCCTTTCTAGGAATGAGGTCCTTCCAGGTCAGGCCACAAACCAGACAATTGGCCGTGTTCGATGGGAAATCTGCATCGTTTCTGGGATAAGAACCAAACCAGAATAGTTCTAGGAACTGGCAAGCTCAAATCTTCTTTTCCTATATATATATATTGAAAGAATCCAGCTATTTTTAAAAGCTTTTTATTTCATTGCCTCATATATAGACGAAAGGTAGAAATTTCTTTTTGTGTAAGACTAGAAATTRTACTGAACTGGCAGTTGTAATGTATTGCCAACCCCAAGGCTGGGCTAATTCCCCAACTCTTGGCATCTCCTGTAACTGTTTATTCTTGCAATCTTCCTTTTACATTATTTGGCACAAAAGCCTAGGTGCAAGTCTTTACTGTGCCATGTCAGGGAGGTTTCCATTGACTGCAGGGGGCCCAGAACCAAGCCTAACATTTGCTGCAGAACATGAAATGCAGTGAGAAACAGTGCCCAAAGGGTTTTGATTTGCCTAGYATCAGGTGCAGATAGCATAATATTCACAGCTCTGATAGAAACACAACAATCCTGTAGTTTATATTATGTGATAGCTGCAGTAGTTATGACTATGACAAATGCAATTCCTAGACAACATATGTTGATTGAAATGGAGTGCTTGAAAATGCCTAATTGATAAACCTGGTGTGAAGGTGTTAAGTTGAAATTAAAACCGGAAACAAGACTGCAATGCAAACAGCRAAAGTGAAATAGTCAATTCAAAGGAAGTTTTCTGATAGTGTATAGTATATATAGTGTTACTAAGTAAAGCAGCTGTTGAGTTTATTTGTCAGCTTTTTGGTTGAAATCTTTCTTTAAAGTCATTTTTTTGTGGCTGTTTCACAAAACTGCCATGACCCATGATGCTGTTCATAATTGCTCAAGGAGTTAAATCTCCGTGGCCATGCAGGTGGTGTGTTCATTGCTCTTACTCCAAAGTGCTGGCTGCTACCAAAATTGGGGCAGTTGCACTTCGTGCTCCCTTTGTGCAGCAGCCCTTGTTGCCTGTGGGGCAAGACCCCACCCCAAAGCCTCCTGTTTCTAAAAGCCCACAGGAGGATGAGTTGGCCAGGATGGTGTGAGCAATGTTTTCAGTTGTTCAGCCATGGAGGGAATGCAGCAGAACATGGAACTCTCTGCCTCTTGCTGTTTTGTAGGACAGCAAACCAAGGGCTGTGCCCTGCAGTGGGAGGGCATTTCACCCTACCAGAATGCTGGTGAGTTGGCATTCTGGAATGGATTGGGTTCCACCTGGGGAGCAGTTTGGCTGCTTTTTGCTGTTACAGCATCTCAAAACAGCTGGCTAACTACTCTCAGGGAGAAAAGTAAGATTTCCCTTGTTACTTTTTCAGACCTAGTCATCTTAATAGTTAGTTGTACAAAGTTTAAAAAAAATACTTCAGACAGAAATATGATTTTTGCATCAGCAGCATTTCTTCCAGCTTAACATTAAAAGGCAGTCTGGGAATGAGTAATCGGAGCATGGTTATTGTTTTATGGCTTAAATAAATTGGTTTAAAAGTAATGTGGAAATTAATGAGCAGCTGCATGAGGAACAATGTATAACAAACACCAAGGAGAGCCATTGAAAAGGTACTGAGCAGAGGTATCGGTGCATAAAATGGCTGCAGTTCTAATCAAAGCTGTTTGGTACCTACTTGAGGTTTTGCACCTCAGCACTCTGGCAAGTCAGCCAATGGCAGAAATGGGAGCCCTGGGTGATATCAGGCAATTTGCAGATCAGGCAGAATGAAGTTTTTTGTTTCTTGCAGAAAATAATTGGTGAAAAATACCAAGCTTTAAACTCGAGGCTTTTGATTGGACGACCCCGGTGGAAACTCTTGTTTGATGACATAGCAAAGTGCAATAGGAGGTGAGTACTCATCTGCTTGAGGGAGGCCACAGTTTGATGGCTGAGGGTAACTGTTTGTAGCCATGTTTGTATGAAAATATTCCTGGGGTTTATCTTGTTGAGAGATAGCTTATACAAATGGAAGCACTTCTTTTTTTTTTACACTCAAATCAGTTCAGCTTTTCATGCAGCTGATATATTCAGTGGCCCAGAAAATAAAAGTAGCAGACTTCCATCTCACTGCATGGAGATTGCAAATGTTCTTGTCCGTGGCAATGTCTTGCTTTCAACACATCTGGTTTTATATATAAAGTTACTTTTCTTAGAATCATTGTTTCGTGATTTGTAATGCTAGTGTACAAACAGAATTCACAAGGAAGAATTTGAATGACCTGCATTGTTTTTATTCAGGGGCTGTATTGTCTTTGGGTATTTCTGGCTACTTTTTATTATCTGTTAAGACCTGGCAATGCCTTTTTACTGTGCTAGGAAAGGCTGAAACAAGACAAGTGTAAACCAGAGAAGACATGAAATGAAACTGTGGAATCTCTTAGTCCAGATCCAACTTCGTTGGTTGAGTATTTTAGCCCCACTGCCAATATGTTGCCTCAAAAGCTGATCTGGAAAAAGGGAYCATGTGAATCTTCCCTAATCCACTTCTGGCAAAGTCCTTGGTGTGGGAGAAGCCCCTCTGAGTAGCTGTTGATGGTAATCTGCGTGCATCAGGTTGAGAGGTGCTCTGCAGAACTTTCCTTCAGGAACCTTCTGTCTTCTCTCGCACTTGCAAAGTGAAATCTGCCCATGGCTTATTGACTCATCTCCTCTGGGGCTGGATATGTCTAGGGGACACTGATCCCTGGYTCTGGAGAAAAACTGAGTGCCAAGYGTATCCCTGTGGGCAGTGTGAGCTGCTGACAATCCTTGTCTTGGATTCACGTCATAGAGGATGTTGTGAACAGGACACCCCAAAGGCTGCTGGTGTCTGGTAGAATTCTCACACTTAGAGAAGGGGTTTAGAGTAAAGAACCATTGGAAAGAAAGGGAATAGAATTCAGAGAACTGAGCTGACTCTGGGCTCAAAGATCTCTGCATAGAAGACTGTTGACCTTTTATGCTCTGCTCTAATGTCTTTTTTCTGTTTAATTATGTGAGTGCAGTTTTAAAAGATGAAAATTATGAGGTTCCTGCCACTGTCTTCCAATGACATAAAAGCACATAATATAGATGAGGCTAGTAATAGTAGTAGTCATACTTGCTTTTTCTTTCTTGCTTTCCATTGCATTACTCCTACTTAGATTTCAAGTACCATTTCCTCTGCATTTTTACATCATGTCTTTAAATTGGGCCATTTTTACCATTTTAGAGCAAGATGTCTTTCAATACCTCAATGATGTTCTGGTTCTTTGGATTACCTTGCTAAGATGTAGGCTTTGTCACTCTTTTTCATGTCTTTATCAAGGTTTATACAGGTCTGTGCCTACAGATGTAGTTACTTGTAGCAATGCACAGCACTGAAGCCTGTAACAACCTCAGCTGTCCCACAGAAATTTACCTTTGTCGGTAATTATTCTCTGTATTTGCTTGGATGACACAGAAACTTCAGTTTTCCCCTGTAGTCCAATTTCCAGGTCTGTTACCAGCTTTATTTCAGTTCTTATTTCTCTGTAACTTTCCACCTAAGTGTCCCTGCTGCTATACGGAGACCAAAAAAAAACCAAACTAAAGCAAAACAGGTCAATCAAGTTGTCTCGAACATCTGGTGCCAGTGTTCAGGCTTTCACATTTGCARTCATCCCCTTGGGCTTGTTTATGGGCAGCCAAGATATTTTCTAGTTTTTATCTTGTGATTTTAGGAAAAGCTGCATATAAATAAACAGGCAGCTGGCAAAGCTTTCACGGTTCAGCCATCTGATTGCTGTGTGCTTTGTGAATTGTTGCTGTTGTTGCTGTTTGGGTCCCAAATAAGCAAAGTGCATTTGTAAGTGTCTGAGCTTTGCCAGACCTTCAGAGCGTGACATGGGACAACCCAGCATCAGGTTCCTGATYCTTTTTTTAAAATTTTCTGGAAAAGAGGAGCAGACGCGTGCCATCTACTGTTCGGATTTCATACGACACCTGCAGACCCAGCAATCTGCATTGGAGCAGTTACATAATAAATTATTGGTCTCTTTTTTTTTGTGCCTTTTGTGGGGGGATGGAGCAGCAGCCTTGTTCCTGTTCAGTTTTTCCTRGATGAAAAGCTTGCACCGTGCTCGGTTTGCTTAGGTCAAATGGGTGTGTGCTTTTTTTCCAGGTAGAGAGCAACCTAGAAAAAGAGATGAATATCTGTAGGAGAAAAAGGCATGGAGCTCTGTGATACATTTCTCATGTGCTGAAAAGGAAAAAAAACCTCTCTCTAGGAATGAATGTAGGATTTAAAACGGGAACATTTCAAGTCCTGACTGTCCTCTAAGTGTAGCAAAGTATTTCACCTCCTGCTGTTCATAAAATGGATGTAAGAATACGTACCAACCTACTCATTGCACAGGAATACTGAGGAGTTACTTGCTTATTGCTCTGAATTAGTAAATCCTATATTGAAGTTTATAATTATTACAAAGAATGGCCTATAACATAATTTCCTTAACTGTAAACATGTTAGTGGTATTAATGAAGATTTTCAGACACAGCACTACACAGCTGCCTGTTTTCACCTAAGCCACCAGTGAGCATTTGTCCTAAACAAGTGATAAACAATGAAAGCCCATCAGCTCAGGGTAGAGCTGCTCTTGTAGTAGCTTCTCCATCCACTTTCCTGTTTGTGTCCCAGAGGCAGGCAGGAGCCAGGTGAGGCAGGGAGGGAAGCATGCAGGCATGGAGTGAGGGAGGAAGGTCGATGGTACATCAAGGGGTGTCCAGACTCCATGCTGATGGTGGGTATCCCAGGAAAGGAGTCTGAGAGCACAGAACAGAGACTCAGCTGGGTTTCAGGTGACTTTGTTGGCCATGGGTCTCTTGTGTGACTTCAGATGAATCATTTAACCTTTCTGTTGTACTGATTATTGGCCAAAAATTCTGTATACCTTGGAAGGATATTACTGGGGTGGGAATATATTGGCAGGATGTGCTGCTTAGACGTGTATTTACTTTGTTGGCTGTTTATATGTAGTGAAAGGGAGAGGGGCAGCCAAACTCATTGGGGTTTATTTTATCAGTTTGCTGTACTAATTAGACTAAAGAAAAAGGAAAAGAAACAAAAAAAAAGGAAAAAACCCAGCAGCAACATTAATTCTTTCAATTAAATACACAGTAGAAGACAGAGTCTTGCTGGCAGCTCATGAATCCTTTTTCTCCAGTGTGTGCAGATTAGAGGGAGTTCAGAGTCTGCAAGTGCTGAGGAATCTTATTTGAAAGCAATGAGGAACAGCGCTCTCTTTATTGCTGCAAACTCACCCCCCAGCACAACACTCTTTTGCCATTAAAAGGAGTACTGCCAGGACAGGRAAGCCCAGCAGATAAACATAAGGGTGAGAAAAGTATGACTTATGGCTGTTTGCCATGGATTGATATGAGAGATGATGTAATTGAAAGCAATTCAAATCAGCATTGTCAAGTTCCTGGGCAAGGTTACCATTGCAGTTACCTGTGTAACTTTGTGATGCTTTTTGTGTGTTTGAGCGCTCAGTTGTAGCCCCCCCGTGCTGCTGTGCACTAGGACAGGGTGCATGCCAAGCTATCCCAGCAGCTGCCTGACACCAGACATGGACACTTGGAGTATGCATCAAAGATTTCTTCTTGAGTGAGTTCCTTTCTCTCATCAAACACATGCACAGGGAGTTTTAAACGGAGTTTGATTATCTTGCATGTGCTGAAATATCGTATGTTAAATAGTTACTGGATAAAATACTGAAACAACAGTCCTGGAAGCAGGATCCAGAACTCAAATCTTGAGCATCTTGGTGAGTGCTGTAGATCACAATACTGAGAGCCATGTTCCCTCCTGTAAGCTTTTTCTTCATCCTGCTAAATCTTTAGGATCTTTTTCTGTAGTGGCACGATTTCAGCAGAAGAGGATGCATTTYTTCATTATACAGAAAAGTCAATACTGCATTGTCTTTCCCTGCTCCTTCCTTTCCCTGTCCTCATCTTTCAAAAAAAGGKAGATGGTGGATATCATGAATGGCTCAGTCCTGCTGTGGTGGATGTGCTTTGTTCTGTTGGCTGCAGTTCTGAGCCCTCAGSTGTTGTATGACTGTGAGTCGGACTTACAGCCTATTTTTGAGGTGCCCAGAAAGCAAAGAGCTGTTGTCAGTAGAGTGGTGTGAAAAAGTCAGGTTAACTAATGAACCCTGGCTGAGAGCTATGGGTGATAAACAAAGGATCATACTCTGAATTTGACTTTTCATAAAATTTCCCAATATAGATGTTGAAGAAAAAACTGCATGCTAATGTGAAAGCAAAGCAGTAAAATTATTCTGTTGCTGCCAGAAATAATCACGGGTTAGTAGTGCTCTGTTTTCATTAGTGTAACAAATCACTGTTAGTGACTAGATCTGCTGGTGTAATTCATGAGTTACACTGAGGAAGACTTTACAGTGAGACACATTTTTAACAAAAAAAAATGATTAATCATGGAAAAAAAGATAGAGTGGAAAATAGTAATTTTTCATCATTTAGTTTCTTCAGACTAAGATGAAGCACTTCTTCCTCAGAGTTGTCTTAGTCAGATAATAATAGGATTTGTTGTATAGGATACTTGGGAGAGATATGGTGGCTTCAGTAATCCTAATKATATCATCTGGTGAGCTGTTCTCACCTTAAAATCTACATGAAGTTGGTTTATGTATAATGCCATGATGCCAGAACCCATTTCTGTCTATTATTAGAAGTTACTGTTTATTGTGTATGTTTTTGTACATTATATGTGTATATATGTTTATTAT